TTGCAAACACCATCCACCTAGGAGCGTCCTAAATGGACGGGCAAGCGGAGGATCAGAACCTGCCCGGGGATGGCTAATCTTCCTTGTCGACTTGACTGGATTTCGAATCACCTCCAGGCATATCTGAGAATGTCTCCAGACAGGTTTAGCTGAGGATGGTGGCACCAATCCCTGGGCTGAGGGTCCAGAGGACGGAAGGAAGGAGAAGGCAAGCTGAGCACCAGCTTCCATCTCTCCACTTCCTGACTCAGTGGGACCAGCTGCCTCCCACTCCTAACTCCACGCCTCCCTGTTCACGATGGACATAATGTCCATGACGCACCGTCAGACCCTGAGCAGAGAGAAGCCCTTCCTTCCTTCCTTCAGTGGTTTTTGTCAGATGTTGGGCACACTGAGGGGAAATAGCAATTTCTCCTCTCCCCGGTCGGTGCAGCGCCACAGAAGGCATACGTGCAGGAAGGACCACATCTGCACCAGATGATAAGGCCCCGACTGTGTCACCCGGAGAGCATGCAGGGCACTGCTTTCCTTCACTCCAACCAGGAGAAAAACATTGAAACTCTGTTAAGAACCAACTGAATTTCTAATTTTAGGGAAATCAACTGTTGGCAATGCCTCCCAGAAGATACAGATGAGAACTTCTAGCTCACTCCTTGTGAGTGGCATTAGCTGCCAAGAACTGTCATCTGGCTGGCTAAAGACATTCTCTCTAATGGCAGGACCACGATAATCATTAAACGTAATTCAAATGCAACCTAAGAATACTGCTTTAATCTTCCTCCTCATTCTTTCCAGCTCAGGTTTGCAACCTTATTTTATTTTCATACTTTTCTCCAACATGGCAAATAGTTGTGTCAGGACCAATTGCAGGCCACTGTGGTTTGGTTGCTGTTTGGATTTTGCAACGTTCTCAATCTCATTTGGGCATTCTGTGAAGGACTTCTAGCCTGTGAGAGACGCCTCAGAAGGGCAGGTCTGATTTCAGTTTCTGGAAGGCTTCCTTGCACTCAGTCATAGTTTTCTTTCTGCTGCTGTGACGAATACCCTGACTAAAAAGCCACTATGGAGAGAAAGGGTTTATTTCGCTCAAAAGTTCACCTTGCCATCCATTATTGCATAAAATCAAGGCGGGAACTCAAGTGGCCGGTCACATCACATCCACAATCGAGAGCAGGGAGAAACAAATCAGCAATGCTGCTTGCTTTCAGCTAGCTTTTCTCACTCTGTCCAGCCCACCCCATGAAGTGGTGCTGCCCATAGTGGGCTGAGTCCTCCTCCATCAATTATCAAGACAGTTCTCTACAGACACGCTCACAGAGCAACCTGATCTAGACAATTCCCAAATTAAAACTCTTGTCCCAGGTGATTCTAGGCTGTGTCAAGCAGACAGTTAAAATCGGCTAGCACATTCCCCTTGGGTTGTTTTTCTGGCCTTCAGTCATCAATGCAACAAATATGAGCAACGACCCAATGTGTGTGAGAAACATACAAGGCAGAGCTGGAGGCTGCCAAGACGGCTCAGCCATTAAAAGGGCTTCCTGATCTTGCGAAGAAGCGTGGTTCAGTCCCTAGGATCCACACCGGGTGGCTAACGGCTGCCTGTGACCCCAGTGCAGGGGCATCCAACACCCTCTTCTGGCCCCTTAGGGTGATATGTGTGTGTGGTATACATAAATTCATTCAGGCACACATACATACACAAATAAAAATTAAGTAAATAAATCATTTTTAAAAGATAAAACCTAGAATGGAGACACAGTAGCTTTCAATCTAGATCACAAAATTGATAAAACTAACACAAAAAGTAATATAAATCATGATGCAATACATGTCATTTGTACTGATTAGAAGAAAATACCAAAATGCTTTAAAAGAATAGTGTGTTAGTGTCTTCTCACCCCGCACCCCCGTCCCAAGGTTTTCGTTCTGTTGAGTTCCAGATACTTTTCCTTTGAACAGAGTCTCATTCTATAGCCCTGACTGATCTTAAACTCCTGGTATTCCTTCTGCCTCAGCCTTTCCAGTGCTGGGTAGGATTATAGCCACACAGCATCATGTCTAGCACAACACATCACTACATGTACCTGCCGGGTACCATGACCTATACGAGGCTGAAGCTGAGCAGGAGTTGAGCCATGGCCTTGTCCTCTAAGAGCTGCTTGTAGAGAGAGCCACCAAAGGCAGAAATTTTCTTTGACGTGTTTTGATATGTCTCTTCCAACAGCTCCATGCCCAAAAGGAGAGACCATAAACATCTTTCTAGGAAAGGCATCAACCTTGAGACACACAGTTGGAAATTGGCAGGGTGCCCTCGGAAGGCTGGGGAGGTAATTTATTTTTCTAACTTCACAGTGGGAACCGAAGCCCTGGCAGATGCCTCCATGTGTGACCAGTGACTGATCTGAGTGAGATCGTTATTAATTATTAGCCACTTTTGAGTGTCTTTCTCAGAAGCTGCAGAACACTTGGGAAGCCTACCTTCTTCCATTGCGATCAATACTGTGTGTGCCTTGTGTGGGAACCTGAGTGGCATGTAATTATAAAACAGTATTGATTCCTGGCAGACGGACTGAAAACGGACAAATCTTCCACATAAGATTCAGCTAAATCTTCAAAGGGCTTGATTATTTTTTTTCCTCAAGAAAGAAACCAATAAGAGTAACAAACTTGAAATGTTAGCTAAATGAGGACTATTTCCTGCCAGGAGCCAGATCAGTACACATAATTATTTTATTCTCTGGGCTGGCGCTAATTCACATCAGCTGAGTGTTGGAAATGCCACTGATTAGGGTCTGCAATCCAAATTATTCAGCCAGTTCCTATGATGATGTTTTCCCCTTGTGTTCCTCTGAATTATTTTTTCTGTGAAACAAATAATTGCTTGTCTGGGATCAGCACACCCCTGTTTTTCCTTCTCTTTGTTACAGGATACAGGATGCTCCTTACCCCAGAGCTCCGCCCATTCTCAAGTCCCCGTCAGGAGAATCTCCCTCTTTTATGTTTGCATGCTTAATTCCTAAGTAGGCATCCAGGCCAGCCGTTTGTTTTATTGACTGATTGACTTACTTATTTATTTTGTTTTTTGAGATAAGTTTCTCTATATAACGCCCTGGCTGTCCTGGAACTCACTTGGTAGCCCAGGCTGGCCTCGAACTCACAGAGATCCACCTGTCTCTGCCTCCCGAGTGCTGGGATTAAAGGCGTGCACCAGTCACTTTAGAGTGGCTAGAAATCTGGAAGCTTTCTTCCTCTGTGCAACTTCTCCTTCCTTAGCAGAAAGGATAACAGTGGTACCCAGCCTGCCCTTGTTACATCATCAATGCCCTCTTGGCTCATGTCTAGACCTGTACGAAGGCCTCACCCTGCCTTGTTAGTGCCTGAGAGTTGGTGGGAGCTTTTTGAAAATGCAAGCCCTATTGCGTCATGTGGCTGCACACAGGTCTGCAGGGGCTGGCTTCTCATCGCGTACAGGACAAGATGGATAAGCAGTTGTCAAGTTTGAGTCCCAAAGGGGAGCTTCTTTCTGAAGATTCTGAGGTCACTGATAGACAGCACACACTGGTGAACTGGAAAAGCTAGAGAAACAAGGCTTTCGCCCAGCATCCTTGGCGTTTGGAGGGCCTGTGGCAGACAGCTGTGGCAGAACGGCTCTTTCCCTGGTTTGCAGGACTGACTTGTCAGTGGAATGGAGGCTGTTCTCTCTGGAACATCTCACCCCTCCTCACCAAGCAATGAAGTGTTGTGAGAATGTCACAGGGAGTGAATGGTCCCTGGTCTGTTTTCTCAGAACCTCCTAACTGAGGAAAAAGAAATCAAAGCCAGTACAGGTCTGACACAAAAGGCCCACGGCTGTTCCCCAAGCAGATGCTACCAGCAGTACTGGAGAGCACACTGTTTTAAATGTGATCCTATGCATTGCAAGATGTTGGTATATCTGCCCCCATGCTAAATGCCAGTCATGTGGCTCCAGTTACTAGGACAGCCACCAAAGGCATTCACATGCCCCTACACACTTTCTAGAGTATTCTGGAGATGGGGAATGGTACCACCCCTACCCGAGGAGCACCTGCCCCTGAGCTTGGTTCTCAGGTCTCCTAAGCACCCCCTCTCCTTTTCTGAAAGCAGAAAGAGGAGCCAGGTTAATTTGGGGTTTTCTGCTACATTTCCTCTCTCCCTATCTACAGAAGAGTTGAGTTTAGGTCCTGGAGCATATGGCTGCCTTTGAAGTCTAGCTCTGCTATTTACTGGGGCAGACCTTAAACAGTAACAGGACTTTGAACAATTACGCTCCCCATGCCTTAGATTCGAATATAAACTGGGGATAAACTGGGCATCTACTTCAAAAGGCATTTTTGAAGATTAAATAAGATAGACACGTAGCATGTGGATCACTCTGTCCACTCTTGGGCAGGGCAATTGTATGAGGTGAGGATGGTGAGGTGATGACGGTGTTCTCTTAGCATAGGGTCTTACCTGAGCAAGAAGGTAACATCTGCATTTACAAATGAGTCCTCCAGCAAACAGAGAAGCAGCTTGGTATGAGCAACAGAGATGTGGTCTGGGCCAGAGTCTATAAGTTCTGTTCAGTATGTGGCCTTGAATATCCACTCTACTTATCTGAGTCTTGTCTTTGGAAATCTTTGTATGGCATGATATCAGAATGACTGAAGGATGTAAGTATTGCAGTGGATTTCAAGGGTCTATGACAGCTCAAAGACGGCTGGTGTTTTGTAGCCTGGTTTGGCAATCCCAAATGGCCACAGAAAGATCGTGTTTTGGTGAGAATTCACATCCATAGCAAATGTCGACGTGGTCTATGTAACTCCAGCTCTCTTGATATCCCCCCCCTCCCCGTTCCAGTGGGTCCCCCAGGAGCCCAGGAGGAAAAGCCTTGAGCACTCGGGTATCTATCTGTCCTTGAGAGCTCATGTCTGTCACGGGACAGATCTGGTGCTAATATCACCAGGGCCCACTGCTATCATAATGTCTGTCACCCACAGCAACAAAGGCGAGAGAAGGAGCTCCGGAAACAGCAGGAGCGGGAACAGCGCCGGCACTATGAAGAGCAGATGCGCAGGGAGGAGGAGCGCAGGCGCGCAGAGCATGAGCAGGTATGGGGAGGTGGAAAGTGCTCCCCCAGCGGGCCCCGTGGGTACTACAGCACCAGGGATTTCTGGGATGTGGAACCTACTAGTCTCCAAGAACTGTTCTAGTATGGCTTTTGCTTTTTCTCAAGCGACCAGTTCTCACCTATTCAAACAGTCAAGTGCACAGCTCGACAGTGCTCATGCTTCCTACCCAAGCCAGGGCCTCCCCTGACATACCTAGAACTTCTGACTCCCCTGCATTCTTCCATCACTGAAGATGAGCCAGGCTACTCAGGCTATTTGTGCTCTCCAACTCCAACTATCTGTGGCCTCTCTGACCGATGAAATCACAATGTGAGCTCCAGGATGGATCTATTACAAAGCCTGTGAGCACACTAGCCTTGCGCATATGTTCTATGCCTGCTGTAGGCTTAGAGCCTCAGAACTTCACAGCACTGTTAATTCCGTGGAGTCTGTAAGGGAGGAGCCTACCGACGAGCTTTAACTTAGAGCTGGTTTCATTAAACCCGAATAGAGACGGTGAAATGCCGGCCATCTCAGTCAGCTGCTACTGCGAGGGGGCTGTGCTCTTGACTGCATTGAAAGCCTTGGCTTTGCTATGGCTGCTCTTCCTGTGTGGTGAGGTGTTGGGTACTTTCCCTTCCTTTCCCCTGTGTCTCACTGGGACGCTCCTGTCACCGGTGCAGTTACTGGTTCTCTCTCTCTCTCTTCCTCTCTTTCCATTCTCCCCACTTCTCTGCTGCCCGCCTCTCCAGGAATACATCAGGCGACAGTTAGAGGAGGAGCAAAGACAGTTAGAGATCTTACAGCAGCAGCTCCTGCATGAACAAGCTCTACTTCTGGTAATGGGACAGTCACACGCCAGCAGACCTGCCTGGCGTTCCCCCCGAGTGTGTGCGTGTGCGTGCGTGTGTGTGTGTGTGTGTGTGTGTGTGTGTGTGTGTGTGTGTGCGTGTACGTGCATGTGTGCGTGTGTGTGCACTTGTCTGCATATATATGTCTTTGTGTTTCCTCCTCCTAACATGCCAATTAAAAATATGAGGTCTTCCCTTGCAATCTCCTAGACCTCAGAATCTCACAGAGGCCCATATAATTTCCTGAGCCCGTTTGCTAAGTCCTCAACCATTTAGCACACTTTATTAACTCCCTCTATTTGCGAAACTTTAGCATGAATCCAGCCTTATTATAAGTTCAAACTGCATTCAAGCCCCACTGTGTTTATTGCAGAGTAATTTTTAAAGCCATTGGCAACATGCTGGAATACAATCACAGCAAATGTACCTCGGCTCTAGAGCCTGCCCAGCCCTGCAGTCATTTCTCATTTGCAGGCCGTTAGTCCTGCCCTTACAACGGGAACACTTTGTTTCCTGCTCATGCCGTATCCGCTGGAAGAATTTTTATTATCACTACTCTATAGTTCTCCAAATGGGCTTCTTGGTGCACGCTCTTTCATTTTTTTTAATGCAATTTTTTACTCGATGGCATTCTGTTATTTGTTTTTGACTTTGTACATAAGCTTGCTAATAGCTTTAGTTAGTACAGGTTTTATTTAAAGGGTGGTGATCTCTACTTGTTTATTTGGTTGTACACTCTATTATATATGCTTGAATGACCAAACTACCAAGTTAGGAACTCCTAGAGCAGAGATCTGAGTTCCCTGCATCTAGGTTGCAGTTCTCCAGGGACATGTCACTTTCCGTGGTGTTCTGTAGACACTGCCGTTAAAGCACCCATGTTTTTCTTGACATATTCTTGTGTGGGACTGACGTGAGGCCTGGCCTTATTGGGGTACCCTTTATCCTTCTTGGAATTCCATTTGTTTACAGCTCCCCCGTGCCTCCACTGCATGTTTTGTCGCCACTGCTCAGTGTGGTGATGTGGGTCCCTGTGGTCATGTGCCCTTTCTCTGCTCTTCCGCTCTGGGTAGGAATACAAGCGCAAACAGCTGGAAGAGCAGAGGCAAGCAGAAAGGCTTCAGAGGCAGCTGAAGCAGGAGAGAGACTACCTGGTCTCCCTCCAGCATCAGCGACAAGAGCAGAGGCCCCTGGAGAAGAAGCCACTGTACCACTACAAGGAGGGCATGAGTCCCAGCGAGAAGCCGGCCTGGGCCAAAGAGGTAAGGGACGAGGAGGTGCGGCGTCCACCGGGCAGGTTCTCCGCTGGGAGGCCGTTCACTGGGAGCACGGAATCCCATTGGTGCTGTACAGTCTGAAGACATGAAGAGAGGTGCACTTCATGTCTGGAGGCCAGAACGTCACTGCAGAGCTATGGTGGTGTACCGGGGCTGTTCCTGTGTGTTTCCTCTGCACCTTTTCGAGTAAAGTGGGTTTTTATAGGGAAAAACAACAAAAATTTGTTTTCCTTATAAAAGTCTATTTAGAAGAGCTAGGGAGATGGTCTGCTCAGACCTTGCAAGCACACGGACTTGAGTGTAACACCCAATACCCACATGAGAAGCCAGGCATGGTGGAAAATGTTTCTAATCCCAGAAATGAAGGGGAGGAGTCAAGAAGATATCTGGGGCTCACTGGCCATCCAGCCTGTCCTGATGTTTGCAGCCTGAGACCCACTGGCAGACTGTCACAAAGCAAGGCCGTGGCAGGCACCTGGGAAGTGATAACCGAGGCTGGCCTTTGGCTTCCACACACATGTGCATGTACACACACATCCACACACCCTCCTCGCTCCACATTCACACAAAGAATCCCATTGAGTATGTACCCTGAGGGCTGTTAGTGGAAGAACATGATTTACATCTTACAGGATTCTGGGAAGGATCATATCCTGCCCATAACCCAGCTGCTGTTCTGAGACATTGGCATACGGCTCACCCTGCCTTATTCTATGTGTTCTCGGAGGTGTACAGTGGGATACACACATGTGGCTAGGATGTGCATTTCAGATACAACCAAAGTAAGAGTCCTTCACTTTCTCAACCCTTAGACTAAGGTAGGATTTTAGGGTATGGCTCTGTGATGAGCTAGTTATAAAATATAATTTGAAACTATTTGGATTGAAGAAAAAGTAAAGGGGTTATAACCAAATGGATAAAGAAAAATCAGTAATCCAGACAAGATTGACGACCATGCCAGGAGTCACTGAGTCATCTCACATACGGGGTACATCAGTCTCCAGATCTGTCTTTCTGACACCACTGACTTCCTTGCATCCTTATGAACATATCTAATCACTTAGAGTGTGTTTAGGGCTATTTCTTATTTGTAAGAATACCTAGGAAATGTTTCTTTAGGTATTTATACCTAGAATGTTTTAAAAAAGTTACCAGAACCAGAATGAAGAACCTATTTTTATTTTTTTATTTTTTCTATCTTATCTTACTAGTTTAGAAAATACTGCAAATGATGCCCTAATCATGGTGGCTAATGAGAGATAGCAATCAAAGAATGATATTTTCTGTAACGTTTTATACCTTTATATACTGTTTGAATCCATTGTAATTGACATTCACTATTACAGTGAAATAATGTTTTGAATGTTCAAGAACTCAGTCTATACAGCAATCATTTTGATTAGTGTAAGGAACATGTTGGACCACTTTCTGTTACAGTCTATAAACATGACCTGTAGTGACCTATGGGGAACTGCTGCTGCTTTTCTGAGATCAATAATTTGGTTTTGTGATAGAGCACTGAACCAGCTGTTAGTTACTTCTCTCCTTGCTGCGCCAAACTACCGATGAAGGTAGCGTGAGGAAGCAGGAGCTGAAGTCTGTCATGGCAGAGGAGGCATGGCAAGAGGCAGCTGGTCACCTTGTGTTCACACCCAGGAAGCAGAGAGAGAATGTCTGTGCTCAGCCCCCGTCTGGAATTCCAGCCCATAGCATAGTACCACCCCATGTAGGGTTGGTCCTCACAAAGCACCTTATTCACTGAGCTGTATGCCCACCCTGAGGATAGCCCTGTAGTTCCTTCCCATCTTTCTGCAGCAGGAGTCCGGAGAAGACCCTCTACTACCTGACCTTCCTCTCGAGCAGATGGAAGTGGATCCGGACTCTGCCCCCTTTTAGCTGTGTTTATCTTTGCTCCGGGGATAAGCCACTTTTTTGTTTTTGTTTTTCCAAGACAGGATTTCTCTGTGTAACAGTCCTGGCTATCCTGGAACTTGCTCTGTAGACCAGGCTGGCCTCAAACTCACAGAGATCCGCCTGCCTCTGCCTCCCGAGTGCTGGGATTAAAGGTGTGCGCCACCACCGCCTGCCTGAGTCACTTCCTTTCTCCCCCCATAACTACCTTCAGTTCAGTTAGCAGACAGAAGTTGTCGGGGCACAGCCCCTGCCTGGTATCAGAATGATCGGCTTCTAAGTATACTCAGCTTTCTCTCTGTGAAATGTTATTTCCAATGTCTGGTTTGATGTCTTTCCTCCAGTAATTAAGGGGAAGTTTTGGTGCAAAGCACATCTGTGTTCCAACCTTCCTGAAGGGTTTAAGGCAAGATTTTTTTGAGACAAAAATATAGTCTGGGCCAGCAAGAAAGCTCAGCAGCTAAAGACAGTTGCCTGGCAAGCTAAGCCCTGGCAGCCCAAGTTCAGTCCCTGGAACTCACACGGCAGGAGAGAGCTGACTCCCAGAGGGTGTTCTCTGACCTCTGACATGTGTTGTGGCACACACATGTGCATGTGCACACACACACACACACACACACACACACACACAGCACACAAATAACTATAACAATCTTCTGAATGTGTAGCTAAATGCCTCCTTGTTACAACCTTCTCATGGATTTATCCTTTTGTTATCCAGACTCCTGCTTAGGAAATTTCAGCACATTGACCCCTTTTGACATCATTGACTGGGAATTAACAACTGGTTATTTATTTCATATGACATAGATTCTTTCAGGTTAAGATACACTAAGGGTAGAATCTAATGCATGAACTGATTGAAAGCATTGAAAATTTATCCAGGAGTTGCTTAGTAGCCTCTCTGTACAACTAAAGGCACACAAGTTACCTGTGAAAACGGGCATTCACTTTTTGCCCTGTATTTGACAGTTAAAACTAACACTAATAATCATTACAAGTATATTGATGTAACCAACCGTTTTATTAAATAAGAAACACAGAAATAATGCAAAAGAGAAAGCCGAGAGGTCAGAGCTCAGAGCTGAAATCTCACCCTTCCGCCTGCGGTGTCCCAGCTTCCCGAATGAGACTCTATTTCCTGTCTGTTTGTCTATTTAAAGAGACAGAACAAGCCACAGCTATCTCACCTCACCAGTTACTCAGCTGGTCCTGTTTCCTCAGACTGGAAGCTTCTGTGTCCTCATCCCAATAGCTCTCAGCTGAACTGTGTTGCTCCAAAGCCTGAAAGCTTAACCAGCCAAATGCTTCTAGTTTCTGGTCCTCATGCATTATATATCTTTTTGCTTTCTACCACCACTCCCTGGGATTAAAGGCTGGCTTTCTGGGATTAAAGGCGTGTGCCACCACCGCCACACTCTTGCAATGGCTCTAATAGCTCTGACCCCTGGGCAACTTTATTTATTAACATACAATCAAAATCACATTTCAGTATAATTAGATTACCACCACACAAGTATGCCTCACTCTGAATACATTTGGTTCTGAACACATGAATACAGGCTCACTCCTATACCACCAATGCACTCTGAATTTGGGATATTGGGTGGCCAGGGTATGGAAATCCAGGTATTTCTCTGAACTGTTTCTACTCCTCAGGCAGGGTTCTGAGCTCAACCATGAGTGGCGTAGGTGGTACAATTTAGGGAGTGAGGAAATAAGGATTTGCAGTGGTCCAAGAACACACTTTCTTCTCTCACAAGAAGTCTGCCATTTAGAGTGGTGCTGGACTTGGCTGCTGCCATCTTCTTGGGCCTTTCAGGTCTTGTAATGACAGCGGGCTTTGCTCTTCTGCTCAGTACAATACCGAATAATTATTGCTGATACAATGTTTTATGCACTCACAAAGTAAACATTTCCTGGTTTATATTCCTGGCCTTTTGTAGTGAGTATAATTTGGTGTGTGGTGAGTTTCTAGGACTTAGAATTTCAAAACCAAAGTCAAGTAGAGGCCAATTGGATATACCCCACAAAGCCATAGTGGGGGAGAGGTGGTCAAATTACAGCTCCCAGAGGCAGGAGGGCTGTTTCCTAGTCTACGGCTTAATGAAGCATGTTTAAATGTTTGAAGTTAAAACAGACCTACTATGAACAGGAGATTGGGCCCGTCTCTAGAGAGATTCAAAATAGAGTAAGGAAGATGAGAGGGAGTAGGACTTTAGAATTTTGTTTCAAATCAGTCAGCAGAAAGAAACTTTAAACCTTAGCTGAAACAAAAATATGCAGACAGACCCAAATATTGAGTCAATGGATGTGAGTTAAGGACTCCACTCTAATGAGCCAGGGGGGAGAGTGGGGAGAGTGGTGTGTTGACCCTAAAGAAATACAGGACAGTGTAGGACAAACCCAGAACAAGGCTTAGCCCTTTGGAGCTAACCAAGGTCTTCCGTCTTGTCTGTCGATGATGTCCACCTTGTTAATTTAACTTTCAAGTCCCCTGTAACAGCCTGTCTGCTGCTATAAATATAGACTGACTGAGCGTGACTTTTTATCTGTTTAAAAAGAGCCCCTTGTTCTCTGAGTTTCTCCTGGGACGTCCTTAGGCTGAGAGAAACCCCAGAGAATAAGACAAGATGGGAATGAAGTGGGTTGGGAGGGGAGAAGGGGGAGGAGAGAAGGGAAGGGCTAGAATGTGGGCCGCAGGAGGCGAGTCGGAGGGAGCGGGGCAACAGAGTCCATGCTGGGAACAGAAAAAATGGGAGGATCAGTGTATTTTGGGTAGCAGGGAGAGACAATTGAAAGGAAAGGGCCCTGAAGAGAAAAAGAAAATGATACAGGAAGTCTGGGTAAGACAGGCATGTCATTAAGCAGCATCCAGGACGCCCACGTGCCTATCAGCGGCATGCAGAGAAGAGCAGCGTTCCTGTGTGCCACCTCTCCCTCGCCAGTCCTTGGGTGGCTCTTGTCCCCTGTCTCCTGAGTCAACCCAAAGCAAGTTTCTATTTTCCCCTGTTCTGTCTCAATGCCTACTGTAGCCCCCTTTGATTATCTGTGGTGCATGCCATTTCCGTGCCTGCTGCCATGGCTTCGTGACTAATCAGTGGGATATTAGCTCAAGGAACCCAAGACCAACTCTTAGCAGGCTGTGAATGTCCAGTTAACTGAAGTAAATAACTCAAGCTGATGGGGAACGTAAGAGCAAGGGCTCAAGTGTCTTGCGTGTCTTTGCTTACTGCAAGAACTTCCAGGAGAAGGAGAAAGTAAAAGAGAAAAGAAAAGGAAGCAGAGGACAAAAAGATCTTGCTGCAAAAAAAAAAAAAAAAAAAAAAATGGCAAGTTTGGGCTCTTTGAATTCATTCGAGGGACAAAAAAATGCCTGTGTGGGTGACTACAGAAAACTCTCGCTGGAGAACACACCAACTTTTGCCATTGAGGCTCCTTTGTCTTTTGACTTCTAGGTAGAAGAACGCTCAAGACTAAACCGACAGAGCTCACCTGCCATGCCTCACAAGGTTGCCAACAGGATCTCTGACCCCAACCTGCCCCCAAGATCGGAGTCCTTCAGCATTAGTGGGGTTCAGCCTGCCCGGACACCCCCAATGCTCAGACCTGTTGACACCCAGGTATAATGTCTCTTCTGTTCCAGTGAATATTTGTGCCCAGGAAAGCTTATTAAAAGTCTAGAAGATTCTAGCATGGCATAGGACCAAAGAAGTAAAGACCCTTAGCATAGCATTCAGAGGGACAGAAGCCTCTCTGCATTGAGAGAAGAGGTAGAGCTATTGACCTTGAGTCAACTTCAAAGTCCCTTCTTGGTGAAGTGGCTACTGTGGAGATCCATGCAGGTCCTGCAGGGTGGGACAAGCATTCTTGTAGTCACAAGCAGAATTCCAATTCACATGCAGACCTCTGAGGCAGACTCTTTACACACATCCCTCCCTTCCTTGAAATATGGGTGGAAATCTGACCGGGAGAACTCAGGTGGGCTTGGTGAGGTAAACATGTGCCTTCTGAGCCTGTCATTCTCCAGACATGCTCCAGGCCAGCAGCCAGCGGCACCCATGACCTTGGTGAAAATGCTTCCTCCTGTGTTGTTTCAGACTCGCTGACCAGAGACTCGGGGTGAGGCCTGGCAGTCTGACTTTAAAAGCCTTCCTTCCAGGTTGATTAAGGTGCCCCTTAGAGGCTGAGAAGCCCTGTGTGGAGATATTTGGTGAGGAAAGATTATTTCACTATTAGGAAAGAAGCTTTCTGGTTAGTTCTGCATAGATGAAATTCAAAGTGAAATAGAATATGGAAATTCCATGGGGGAAAAAGGTAATACAACCTTTCTCACACAAACATCTTAAATTTCTTCCCAGCACCAGCTGTGGTAAGCTTCTCCAGTGTATTTTCAGGTCACCTTTGAAATATGCTCTGTTGTTTGAACTGGAGCTTAAAAGAGTAATGATAAAAATCAAGGCTTTTTTTGTGTTTTAAGCTGGCAGTAATGAGCAAAATTCAAAATTTCTCAGCACTGACCAGCTTAATACACCTTCCCCTGATTGTTTTTATCTGTATATAATTCTCTCTTGCAGACTCTTCAAAAGAGGACATTTTTACAAGGGTTACCCTTCTTTGTAAAACCTTCTGCTTTGACCTTATAATGAACCTTTGCCCTATTAAAGGGGAGCATTGCAGGGAAGTACCCCTTCTGAAATGATGGGGAATGAAAGTATAGACTTTCTATGAAAGCGTTCTTTGAGTGCTTCCGTTTTTAGGGGTGCTCGGAATGGTCTGCTAAAGTGGGTTTGGGTTTTGTACTAGGTGTGTTAATGTGTTTTTGATGTTACCTAATACATGTATGATATTTACATCAGGATGAACGTTGCAAGTCTATTCTGGATGAAGCGGAACACTCACCAAAGCAAAGCTTGCTTGCCACCATAACACTCCAGCAGAAATTACAGACAGGAGAGGGCTTGGCAGGCCACTGTACAAATGCAGCAGGAAATCAATACTGCTTGAATTAGCAGTTTAATTTAGGAAGCACTCTAGATCCCCGCCCTTTTTTAAGCCATGATTTATGGCTTACAGGTCAGGCCCAAAGATGGACTCAGGCTCCAATAATGAATACCGTATACACCCTGAGGCAGGATAGGCTTCAATATTTACAAGACTCACATGAGCATCATAGTGGTGAAGGAACCCCTTGTACCCTGGATTTGGGTGATTTTTCTTAAGAGGCCAAATGAAAATCCCAGAAGTCATTCCTGCATGAACAGCAGCACTGTGTGCCCAATTGTTGAAATAACTCAAGAAACATCCCAGTGTCAGGGGATGGTGTATATTCTCAGTGGTGATGGCCCTGTATAAATCAGGATACTGCAGAGCCTGAGGAGATGGCCCATTCAGTACAGTACTTGCCATGCAAGGACCAAGTTCAATCCCTAGAATACACATAAGAAAGACAGGCATGGTGGTGCATGCTTGTAAACTTAGCACTGTGACAGTGGGTACAGGGGAATCCTCGGGGCTTGTTGGCCAGCCAGCTTAGTCCAACTGGCAAGTTCCAAGCCAGTGAGAAACCCTGTTTTAAACAAAATGAGGGCCATGTGTGGCACACGCCTTTAATCCCAACACTCAGAAGATAGAGGCAGGTGGGTTTCTGTGAGTTGTTAAAGGCCAGTCATGCCTACACTAAATTCCCGACCAGTTTGAGTTATACAGAGAGACCCTGTCTCAAGAAAGAAAGAGAGGGAGGGAGGGAGGGAGGGAGGGAGGGAGGGAGTCGACAGACTATAAACCAGGTAAACTTTCTGAAGTTGACCTCTGGCCTCTACACATACATGTGCACCTGCATCCAAACACACACGCACACACAGGGTTGGGAGAAACACCTCAGGAAGGAAAGCGTACACTGCAGAAGTGAGATGTGCAGGCCCTGGGGGCGGAGCACTGGCTTCCAGCTCAGCTGTGAAATCAGTGTGGCTTAGTCTCTTTCCACCCGGGATTGCTCCCGTCTGAAAGAAGGCTGGTTGTGTCTACCCCATGGTGGACTAGGGGAGTTCAGAAAAAAGGAAGACATTTAGAGCACTCAAAGCTAAGGACTTGACAAGAGGGAGCTTGAGATAGCTTATAAAATAGCTCGTGTTGCTGTCCACGAAGTGCTGGATAAACGTCATTACTGTTACTACTCCCACGCTATTCCTTGACTTCTCAGCAGTTCCAGCGAAAGCACCAAGCCCACTGCCGGAAGCCCTGAGGAAGCCCTGTGTGTTTTCTACATTGACGATCCTGAAGGGCTGTGAGAAACAGGCTGTGCAGCCGTGTACAGCAGGCGTGTCTCAGCCAGTGAGGCTTATCCCAAGTGCAATGATGGCTAGCTGGAAACTACCCTGTCAATAGCTCTGATGGGTTCCAGTCCTGCATACGGAACTTTTTGTCCCTTCAGCCTATGGGCTTCTAATCATGCCGGCCCTGTGTTGTGTGCTTAGATCCCTCAGCTGGTAGCTGTGAAATCCCAGGGACCTGCCTTGACCGTCTCCCAGTCGGTGCACGAGCAACCCACCAAGGGCCTGTCTGGGTTCCAGGAGGCTCTGAATGTGACCTCTCACAGGGTCGAGATGCCACGCCAGAACTCGGATCCCACCTCAGAAAACCCTCCTCTGCCCACTCGCATTGAGAAGTTCGACCGAAGCTCTTGGTTACGACAGGAGGAAGACATTCCACCAAAGGTAGCATCAGTGCCGCCACCGCCATGTGTCTGCATCTCCGCCGCCATCCGTGCCCACTGTTCCATCCCCTCCGCAGTTTGGAGAACATGGCTGTGCCTAAGAGCACGTCACTCCTCACACTTGTCATGGCCCCTTCTTTAAGCTAAGTCCTGAGTAGTCGTTCATCATTTCGGATCTTTGTTTTCCCACAGGGGCAGAGACTCAATATGAGTGTCAGGGAAGGGCATGTCTTCATAGAGAATTAGAACTCTCAACCCCAAACACTCTAGGCCATTTTACTCTTCATGTTAGGAAACAGACTAGTGGATATGTTCAATGATTATTGCATCTATAGCTAAACAAACCAAATAAATAAAAGAAAATTTAGGACCCCGGCACTCAAGAAAATGTCAGGCATGGTGACATGTATCTATAATCCTAGTGCTGAGGAGACAGAGACAAGAGGATCCAAGGCCAGATACACTAGCTAAATTGGTGAGACCCAAGTTCAATGAGACACTCTCTCTCTCTCTCTCTCTCTCTCTCTCTCTCTCTCTCTCTCTCTCTCTCTC